TCAAGAATAAGGGATTGTTGATTATTGTTATGGAGAGTAGAGAATTTATTAAAGTTAATTATCTTAAGAATAAAACAATTTTGAAAATCAAATCAAAAACGTCAAAACTAAATGGTTCTACTAATATGTGCCAGATTTACACTAGTGCAAACATAATGTTCAATTACATTGTATATGATTGTATTTGTGTATAATTAATTATTATGAATAAAATAAAATACTGTTCTAATTAACATAACGGTCCAATTTTTATATTTTATTTGTATCTTATTAATATTTATAGTTTTTCTGTTTATGATTTCATAATGTAATTTTAAATTTCATTCGCTGTACACTACAAAACACTAATAAAAATATTTTAAAAATTTAATTAATTTTCAACATAAATGTGTGCAAGTTTTATTAAAAAGTTTCAAATGAAGGCAAAATGAATATAAAGTGATGAATAATGTTTGTTGTGAGAAATCTAGCTACAATAATTTTATATTTAATTTTGCTAAAGTAATTACACGATCAATATCGTAATAAGATTAAAACAAACTATTTTATATAATTATAGATCGAGTTTTTATTTAAATAATCATTGATTTTAATTTATATCTCAAATCTACCTAAAATAAAACTAAAAACTTAATCAGGGTAAAAAATTTTAAGAAATAAAACTTAATACACTGCAACTCATCTCGGGGTAACATCTTCTGGTGGTACACTTTCTCATTGGCAACTGAATTGAAATATCTTTTATTTAATTAATAAATTACTTATTAAATAAACAACAATATTTAACATTAAAATTCACTGCCTAATAGAATTTATACTCACTGAAAGGTCAACATGTTCACAATATTTAAATTAATTAAAACATTTAAACATCAATTAATTTAAATATTGTGAACATGTTGACCTTTCAGTGAGTATAAATTCTATTAGGCAGTGAATTTTAATGTTAAATATTGCTGTTTTATTTAAAAAGTAATTTTAAACCAAAATGTTGATCGAAGTGAATACAGAACAGGTGGCCGACAATTATAAAGTTTTATATGAGTATTAATTAATTTTATTCCGCTTTTGAAAGTATGTTTAATGTGTTTTTTGGTACAAATAACATGAGAGAGAGAGAGAGAGAGACCTGAAAACATCTCGTTATAAATAGTGTTCACAGTTATTTGGTTAAACCAATAAAACCAAATAAAACACACTAAATTTTAAAATAATACATATTAAAAAAGTTTATTAAGTTGTTTGCAATTGTAAAAAGTTAATTAATTTAGTATTTAATACAATATTTTTGAATTGAGAGAGAGCTCTTTATGATTAACTCAATTCTAGTGTCCATTCATTTCAAAAATTAAATAAGAAATAAATCTTTAAATTAATTGTAAATTCAATAAATGAGAGAAAACAACACAAAAACAATAATTTGAATGCAGTATAGGATCGGTGGACACATACCACGGGTTCACTGGCTATAACAGTAAACGGTATATAAGTTTTAGTTTACTATAGGATTGCAATACTGCCGTAGAGTTAGGGTGTGATTATGAAATAGACATATAATTAGCGGTCAATTGACGCGAATAAAAGTGGCTATAGTTTTGCCATTTTTGCGGTAATATAACTTTGAAACACTATTTTCATGGATTTCAATGGTTTTCAGTTTAGCATTTGTGGACAACAGGCCCTCAAAGTCACTATCCATTAGATTAACGGCTAAATAGCAATGAATGACAAGCGTTTGCAGCGCCGGTCGTCTTGAGATGTGTGACAAACAATCGGTTTTTGTTATGTAATCTGTGATACGAATCGACAGGTATTGAAGTCGAGGGCAATATTTGTCGCAATTTTGAAGGAAATTAATTTTATTTTGAAATAAATCAAACGTTAAATGTGTTAATCGGTGGCAATGTCTCAACGCTTCCAAAGACTTGATATCGAAGGCTATTAATAGTGTTAAATGCAATCGTTTTAATTGCGAACACCATTTCAATGATTCCAATAACTCGTTATTATTTTCTTTTGACCAGAAGTTTAATACGAGTGCCAATCGTTGCAATTGTTTGCAATGAACGCCAATTGCCAGTAAATAATGGGAAACTAAATTAGGGCTAAAGTATTTTCCGTTAATTGTATTAATTCTCAATTCTCGTAATTCTGGTAATTGTGACAATTGGTGACCAAATTGTAAGATATTATATTCAAACGTAACATTCAATTCATTCACTACAAGACATGTGACGGATTGACTCTCGGCTACGAATGCGGGCAACATCTTAGAAATCACTTCCATGTGTGACAATCCTTCGCATCCAAGCATTGAGTTTCTCCAAAAACCATTCAATTTTCGTATTCCTGTGACAACACATCCGTAAGTATGTTTGGTTTGGGCCATCATTTCGCAGTAAATATTCCGTAAATGCCGACAATTGTCTCCAAATATGGCCAACAAATGTGCAAATTTTATTACATATCTTTCGTGTATTCCTCGACAGTCAATGGTTTGAATGTTTGGACACTTTATAGCAATTGTGGCCAACAATTGGGTTATCAATTCATTTCGTTCGTATGTTTTAAATATAAACGTGTCTTTCAGAGTGATATCCACAGCATTCTCGAAGACTGTCCTCTGGAACTGTTTGGACACATATTCGCATCGAAACCGATCTTCAATTGAGAGGTAAGATAAGAGAAGTGCACACAAATCATCACCGAATCTGTCCATTGAGTTCTTTGCATACATTTGTGGCTAAAATGTGACACAAAAATTGTGATAAAATACAATTAAAACTCTATAAAGAGTCGACTATTTGTTAAATACCTGTTTGTTATATTCATTGCTGTTATCTTTGGTCTCGAGTGATGCCATCATTTGTGTCAATTCTTGTGTCATATCTTGGGATCAAATGAAGTGATTGTGTCAACACAATTTTATGAAAGAACTAACCAAATATTTAATGGAATTCCATTAATGTTAAAAATATAGTTATTTTATTTGAACCACAGTTTGGTTAACAAACGTAAGGATAGCGTAGACAAAGTGTAAAACAATTTTTGAAAGTATTTTACATTTCTTACGCAATGCTTGCGTTTGATTGCCATAACTTATTACTATATATTATGTGTGTTAATAGGGTTGGGATTTTACATGTAATATTCATTACAATCTTACATTACATGTAATATTGCGTAATTTTTCGTAGAATTTCGTAAAATTCAAATTTTAAAATGAGCAATATTTAAATATAAATGTTCAGCAGGAAAAGATATACATTATAATATAGATTAATATATTTTATTAATTAAATCATTCTAAATGAAAACAACTAACGTGTGATATACTTCCCTTACAAGTGGCCGATTTGGGTGAAATTAGGTTTAAATTGTAAATTAAGGCATAAAAATAAATTGTTGTGAATATCTGAGGCCGAGTTGTGGCCATTTGAGTGGTCGCGCGCATACGGTGTATGGCAATGCTGTACTGGCGATAGGCTTGTCAACTCAATCTGCGACATTCCTTGAAAATTTCAAAAATTCGCCTTGACATTTCCTTGGCCAACATTTTTATTGCAGATTTTAAAGGGAGTTTTTCTGGTTTTCGATAAAATTTACATAAATATATTGTAACGCGCAGTCGCAGTACACAAAACACACCGTCTCTCTCTCCCACTCGACATCCCTTTCCGCCCTGTCGTCGAGTCGTATCGTCTCTTATCGTATTCTAATCGTATTTTTCCGTAAATCTCGTGTATTTTTCGAGTCAAACGTTAAATAAAACCGATTTATTCGATTAATACCGTTTTCGATCTTATTTGTTACGCATAACGCTAACAAATTGGCGCAATCGCCGTGATATCGTATCTACTCGTCGTATACCCCGTAAAAACACGCGTTTTTATCGTTAACTCTACGCAATGCCTCGAATAGGTTATGTGCGCCGAAGGGCCCCGAGAGCCGCACAACGGTCGTCATCATCAAGAGCTGGCGCCGCCATCAGCACCACTCAAATGGTCGCTTTCGCGCAACAGTTCGCTAAACTCGTCATTCAATCGCAAGGCTCGGTGGCCACCAACGCATCGGTTCCACCGACCACAGCTGCCGCTCAGACATTACCACCGCTGCCGCCACTTCAAGGCCCGCCTCAAGTTCAACAGACACCGGCACCGGCATCGGCCGCCGCCTCCCTGTCTTCGGCAACGCCAATCGAGGCGACGCTTCAATCGCTATTACAGTCGACTCGTCGCCCAACGCACCTCTTGTGCGACAGATATAGCGGATCGTTGGACACCGTAAACGTCGTAAACTGGGTTCGCGTTTACGAAACCGTTACTATCGGGTACTCGGATCGCGAACGAGTACTTACCCTTCCACGCCATCTCTCGGGCGAAGGGATCGATTGGTATTTGTTTGAGATATCGCCACACGTCGGTGTCCGCGAAGTCTCGTGGGCTGAATGCTCAAAGTCGTTGACCGATCGTTTCGACATAAACCGTGGAAACGCTTTCCGTGACGCCAAGAATCGTAAATTCCGTTCAAACGAAGCCGTCTAAGAGTATTACAACGAAATGAGACGACTCATGAAAGACGCAAATGTCTCCGAAAAGAACCAAATCGTAATGTTGACCGACAGTATGCCCGACTATTATCGCCCACATCTCGAAACCAAGAGTCCAAAGACACCGAAAGATTGGATCAAGTTCGCCATCCGTCTCGAAGGATCGCGACGTCAACGCAATGATCGTAATCGTATCGACGCCTATCACGCAGAGGCCGAAGAGAATCGCAACACAAGCCGTCATTATGATGATCGCCCGCCGCCATATCCGTGTCCGGAATGCCGAGGCAATCACTGGCTCCGCAAGTGTCCCCGTAAACAGTCTCGTAACGAACAGTCGTCTAATCAGTCGCACATCGACTCATCGTTTGTCGGACATCTCGATGTCGTGAACCAATCCTTACAAACGACACATGCCGTCAATTCATCGAAGGATCGCTACAACCGTATGAATCGTAATCCGTACCAATCGATACCAACTCGCACGCCATGTCCACACTGCTACCACGATCACGGTCAGCGTGCGATGCATTGGCGCCGACACTGTCCGCGTATATGCAGTACAAACGACTCCTGTCGTCAATCGTTATCGAAAGCCCGTCCGCCTATCTCTTTAGTGCCGGACACTAACTACAAGACCCGCAGCTCTTGTCCTCAACCGCAGACACGTATTCGCGATACAAAACACACCGTATCGTCGTTTTATATCGAAGAATACGACTGTAATCGCAAACACATTCCGACAAATCGTAATAATCAGTCGAGTCGTCGACACTCGTTTAATGAAACGCATCGGAAGTCGTCTGTCGGACCCGAATGTCTTAACCGCATCGTTCAGACCCGTAGTTTCGCAAACAATCGTTCCCGAAGAGCTCGAACCAAACCACAACGTGATCACGATTTAAAACACGAAAAGTCGTTTGAATTCGTAAATCACGTGAAGAATCGCTTTTGCAACGAACGCCCGAAGAGCGCCAAACCGTTGCCAACATCTCAATCGTCCGCGAGTTTCGACAAACACTCGCATAGAGTCGTAAACATCTCCGAAGACTTGATCGCAAGAAATGTCGTTCCCGAACCTAATGAAGACTATCGCCGACTACCAGCCCGTAGTATCGCACACGTTCACCGCGTCGAGGGTACTGTCCGCGACCAAACCGGGGGGAATGTAACGCGCAGTCGCAGTACACAAAACACACCGTCTCTCTCTCCCACTCGACATCCCTTTCCGCCTATCATTCGTTAGTCTGTCGTCGAGTCGTATCGTCTCTTATCGTATTCTAATCGTATTTTTCCGTAAATCTCGTGTATTTTTCGAGTTAAACGTTAAATAAAACCGATTTATTCGATTAATACCGTTTTCGATCTTATTTGTTACGCAAAACGCTAACAATATAATTTAATTAGTCCTCTTTTCTATCAAATAATTAATTATTGTAAATATTACAGTCAACTATCGATGCTGTCAACAGAATGGTTCCTGGGATTTGGTTG